AAAGTGATTTTCATCATGGAGCATGATGCTTTCATGGATCAAGACGCCCACGGAGATTTTTAGACAAGTGGTAGCGCAATTGTTTTCTTGGATCATAAAGATTAGTGCAATGCCTTTATGGATAAAGAGAGTTGCGTTGATATTTGGACGCAACAAGAAAAGTGCGGTGCTGTATTAGATCCGGCGGGTACAAAGTGCAGTGTTTTTCTGAACAATGTGTGGTGGCTGAATAGTCACAACATTACTTTACCGAGGTTTTCCAAACAATGCATATAAGTTCATATGAGTTGTTAAATTATATCATAAGAATTAAACTGTTTTACAACTCAACGAATCTAACTTACCGAAATTGTGTTGCTGTTGTTCTTGTGGGTTGTATCAGCCTCTTTCGGTAGCTAATCCGTAATGACGTGTGACAAACAGCACATGTTTAGTCTTGCACACGTGGTAGATTTGATTGTCTGAACGGCGATTTCTTGAGCTTAGTGGACTTAGAGAAGAGGCGGGTGGTGTTCTTTGGATAAAGAAAAGTTGCGAAAGAAAATGAAAAGAAAAGTACCTCCCACTGTCTGCTTTTTTTGTTTTGTTTTTTCTAAATGCTACTGATTGCAACAGTTCTCTCAGTAGATCTCTCACGCACTTGGTATTTGGCGCTTCCAGTCCCAAGGACAGACAACATTTAATTGAGCTCTTGTTCTGCACAAAAGAAACCTTGTGACTAATTTGCATCATCTTGTCTTGACTTGTCTTTTTTTTCTCTTTTTACTTTTTGTCTTTTAATTATTTGATATCAATCAATAGTTTGTGCTTATAAGCCTCCATTTCTCCTCTTGTCTCTCAGTTACTGACGAAAGCTAGTGCATACTGGCTGAAACGTCTGACATTTTAAAATATCATACCCAGTTGCTTGTCAATGAATAACTGCTTTTTAGCGTATCGCAGCTTTTCGTTCCTATAAAACTGTGAAAACTTCTAAAAGCAATCAGCTAATTGTAGTATCATGTTGTGCTGCAACTGATTTGGATCCCCTTTAAGTTTTGGATCTTAGTTTAACCTTTTTTTTCTTTTACACACACACACACACACACACACACACACACACACACACACACACACACACACACACACAGGGGAGACAGGAATTCTGATCTCCCCTACGGGAAATTGAAGTTTTACTAGGATATTGGGATTCCAATCTCCCCTAGGAGAATCTAGAATTATCCTAGGACAGGTTGGAATTCCAGTCGTCACTAGCTGTGCATAGACAAATCATGTTTCTGATATGTGTTGCTCCTGACCATTAAAATTAATGACCGGGACTAGACAGCAGTCACCGTTTTTAAAATATGTATTGACAGAAGGGCATTTTCTATCTTAAATATGAAGTGATTCACCTAGAATATTGATGATAAAATCGTGTAGGTCTATGCTGCAATTGGAGTTCAGGCTGAAATTATTAAGTCTATCAATACATTGGTTGTAGTTTTTATAGAATTCCCATATGTCCTAGAAAAGACCGGAATTTCAGTCTGTCCAAGGAAGATTCTAGACTCTCCTAGGAGAGATTGGAATCCCAATTTTCAGATGCCAATTCCAGGTTGAATTCCAATTTCCCCTAGGGGAGATCGGAATTCTGGTCTTCCTTAGAAGAATCTATAATTGTCCTAGGAGAGATTAGAATTCCATTTCCCTCTTGCTTTTGTACTTTGTCCCCCCAACTACAAGGTAATTAAAGGACAAGGTAGGTAGGTAGGTAGCGAGGAGCGCAATTAAGATTAAAATATAGACAACTGTGTTTTTTGTAATTTTTATTTTACTCACTAAATCAAATGCAGAATGCACGACACTACGACACCAGTCTCTGTGGGCAAATGTACTCTACATACAATCATGTGATTTGTCTTGTAATCATTGGCCACTCTCCGGATCCAATCCGACTTTTTTGCTATCATCTGCTTGACTTGCAGGCGTTTTGAAATGTAAAACTACATCTTGATTTCAACTCTTTGTAGAGCAATAGCACGAACACATCTGGTATAAACATGAAAAGATGCATACTAATTCTATTGACATATAAACACATTTAAACATAATGCGTTTTTCGTTTCATACTGATTTTTGATGCACTGATATTTTCCTTAGCTTGGTTAAACGTCAAATTATTGCTACTGTCTTTTCACTATCTTTAGTTGTAACCTTTTTTGTCACTCTGACTTGTGTCGTTTTACAGGATAGGGTAGTAAATTGGGAAATTCTTTGTACACGTGTGATACAAATTCTTAACTCTATAACAATGCATTTTTAAGACGAAATGAAATACAATACTTGTGTAAATGTTGTAAATCCGACGTCAAGAAACTATGTTACTTACATATGGTCTAGTTTTAGAACATTCACATCACCTTTGCTGTTTTAGGAATTATAATTCAACAACTCTAATCATCCAAGCAACTACTAGTGACACACAAAATACAATACATAAATCAATAATAATTCCCCATTCATACTAAATCAACTGCTATATAAACTCGTTTATACTTGATACTTTCTTCATATCACACTATTTTCCCTGCACTGATATTCTGATGACTAAGCTTGATGAAACCTCGAGCTTTAAAAAATTTCTACAGTCTTTTCTCTTAAAACCTTGTGGTTAAAACATTTGTCACTCTTACATGTGCCATGTAACAAGTTGTGGTGGCTAATGGTGAAATTATTTGTAAATTAATGCGTGACACATAACGTTAGCACTAAAATAATGCATCAATAAGACGAAATTAAAAGCAACATTTGTGTCAATGTACATGTCCAACACTTGAACTAAAAAAAGAAACATATGAATTAAATATGGTATTATTTTCATCCTCATTAGCTTTGCCATTTCAAGGTTTTACCAAGTTGTTTTATAATTATAAACGCAAATTATCCACGCAACTACTAATGCCACACAGCATACATAATACAAACCATACCACACGTATGCCCTGGTTATTCCCCATTACCCCCAAGTCAACTATACAGGCACATTGATTTCTTTTTTTTTTACAATCGATGTTCAGTACCTGTCTCTATATGTATATGTCTTACATAAAATATACATTTGCAATTTGCCTTCGGGCATAAGTTTACATAAAAATCCATGCTTGGTAATTGACTGGTGTTGTAATGTAACGTTTTAAACTTTGAAGCATAACACTAATATACGTTTGCGTCAACAATGAAAATAGATCAAGTATTTGATAAGCCTTTTGCAGTTTTCTTTGATAAATAAGTGATCAAGCCATCGCCAGTGACTCAATAAAAACGTGACGTCAACAAGTGGCCAAGTTGAGTCTGAACCAAGCAGTTTGATTAAACATATCATTACAATGGTTTCTCGCATACGAAGGGGAAGTGACTGCTGCACAGAGCGTCGTTCCACTGCCCTTTATTCCTCTTCCAAAAAAATAAATTCTTGCCAGTCTGTTGAAAAAATATACAGTTAACGTTAAAGATTAAGATAATTGTATTTTTCTTCAGGTGATTTTCCTGGCACCTACACATCCAATCAAAAGCTTTTTACGTATTTACAATGATAAACACCAAGCAGTCAAGCCTGGTTGCCAAATACCCGGTATAACAAGCTATTTACATTTATCCAAAATAAGTAATAAAACAGCCCAGGTAAATTATACGTTCCTGCTTGTTGTTTTTTTACTGAGAAAAAGGTCCTACACTTTATAGCTATGGACAAGAAAAAATATTACTCAATGGATATTGCAGTATACTTCTGGTCACTTTGATAAAAAAGGAGAAGAACGGACCTTGGAATACATGCTGCCACATTTCTCCTTTAGTAAGATGTTATTAGGCTCGTGCGGAGCCCAGTTCTTGTATCCAACTCGTGACCCATCTGTCCACTTCCATTGTCCAGACTGTTTTTTCAGTCCCACCCAGACGAGAGGAAGTATACCTTCAGGAGCTACAATCAAACAAAGCAGTCTCACATGTTATGCATGTTTGTTACGTGAAAAAAACACACTTCATTTAATTAATCTTATCTTAAGTTTAAACATAAAATGTTCAATATAATTCTCTCAGGAGATATGTCAGTCACACTAAAAAATGCATACGAATAGATCTTAAATACAGCATGATCATGTATTATGCACACTTGATTATCAGTCTTGTTGAAACTGCACATACATTGGGTTCTCCACTTGACATCTCTCAGACATATTGTTTTAAGAAAATCATGAATTTTTTTATAACCCCGGGACAAATAATGTTAATGGAGGTAAGTCTTTTTAGTATTATCCAAGTCTTTATGTATTATCCACTATAGCTATGCTAAAGTCAATATAAAACATGAAGACAATATGCATGGTTAAATTAATGATGCCGTTGGTTAACGTTGAAACGAAATATGTACATGTTGGATGAACAGGTCTTATTGCATTGTGCTCAGAAAAAAATGGATTAGGTAGATTATCTTTTTACATGGATTCACATGGATTTTTGAGCATTGGATAGGAAGCACTTGTTGTGCTTATGTGAATCCGCTGCTCATAAAACATAATACAAAAGTAAACGTAAAGATGATATAAAGTATAACATCAACATGAAATAAAAGTGGCTGGCGCACCAATTTGTTTGTTTGTTTGTTTATTCGATCTCCATTAGATTTACATGAAACCTATTCTTCCTGGAGTCGCAAAATTACAATGAAACAAATGTACAGAACAGAACAAAACAAATATACATGAAATTAAAACCAACATAACAAAAGGTGTGAGTCTTAATAAAAAATAACATAACGCACACAACATTAACTGAAAACTGAACTTAAGTGAACGGGGAGAGGTCAGAGGTCATGGATGATTAATGTAACAAAACGTACATGTTACAAAAAGAGGTTGCAAAACTGCAAACCATAAACAGTAGTAAATCAACAAGTGGGTGCAGAACTGCAAATCATAATAACGATAAGTAATAACAAAGTGGATGCAGAACTGCAAATCATAATAACAATAAATAAATAACAAGTGGATGCAGAACTGCAAATCATAATAATAACAATAAGTAATTAACAAATTAGATGCCACCTGATAATAATTTTAAAACCCAAACTTCACTAAGAAAATACTAACGTCTATTTACACCAGTATGAGTTTAATTAATTTCCCTACAGATTCATTTAATCTGAGACTTGGTTTAAGAATGCTTACCACCAGTACTGTAAAGGCCTAGTTCTGTCAATTTTAGAATGAATCCACTTGGTTATTTGTGTTTTGAAATTTGAAGGTGTAGTCGATTTCATATGTGGTGGGAAGGAGTTGTAAGATTTGGAACATCTGTATAAGAAAGTACGTGTTAATGTGGTTGTCTTAGGCTTAGGTAATCTGAAACCGCCACCATTTGCAAAACGAGTATTGTGGTCATGAGTGCTGTTGACGTTTTGTAATCTTTTGTAAATAGCCTCAGGTTTCTTAGTTGCTACAAGTTTGTTGAACATTGAGAGTGTACCAGTGTATAGTCTTTCTTTAACTGTGGGCCATTGTAGTCTCCTGTGCATGTCATTGGTGTTGTCTGTGTAGTGTGCATTTAAAACAAGTCTGGCAGCCCTATTCTGCAAGGTCTGTAGTTTGTTTAAGGATGTTTGTAGGCCAGTGGACAACAAGCAAGAACAATAATCCATGTGAGATAAGACTAATGTTTGAGTTACAGTCTTTAAACGTCCTTCAGAAAGGAGATTTCTAGATCTCCTTAGTACTGCAAGGGCACCAGTCATCTTGTTTAACACTTTTTCAATGTGTGGGGTCCAAGTCAAGTGCTGGTCCATTAGGAAACCAAATAATTTTGCCTGAGTTACCTGCTCTATCAATTTGCCATCCAATGAAAGCTGTATGCTGGGGTTGTGCTTTAGCTTGTGGCGACTACCAAAGATGATAGATTTAGTTTTCTCTACATTCAGTATGAGTTTGTTCTCTTTAATCCAATTGTGTATATTTGTGAGTTCGGACTGCAGTTTGTTTTGTACAATGGAAGCATTTGGGCCAGAAGCGGATGGGGTTGTGTCGTCGGCATATAACTCCATACTGCATTGTGTAGCAACTGTTGGCAGATCGTTGGTATACCTATAGCATAACATTAATGAGATTGGTCAAATCTCCCAGTGTGATGAATATAATTGAACACAATATCGAAGATACGGCAGTTAGTAGGGTATGGGAGGGAGGGCCTACCTGTAAGAAGTAAAGTACATAATGTGGCGTCATTTGTGTTGAGTCTCGAGTGGGTCGAAAGAGAGTATGTTTTCAAGATGAAGGCAAGATATGGATAACAACATTTTGGTCCTTTCAGTATTATAACATTTTCAGTCCAATAAATAGTGATCTGGTGTCACATTTGGATGCCCACATTTGCACTCAGGACTAGTGATACAGTTATGCTGGAATAGGTGGTAGTTCAGGTGGCTGAAACCAAGCCAATGTAGATTATTACGTTACGTTAGTGATACGTTTTAGTGATACGTTTTTTTTCTCTATTGGCTGAAGCACTAAGAACCCGGTCTAGAATTGTAACCTTTGAAATTCTTTTTACATTTCCTTTGAGTCCCCCAAATGGTTACCTGCAAAGTCTTTTAGATTCATAAATACTGTAAAAGTCACCCACCATTCTTGATGAGACCTGTAATAAAGTTGTTCTCCCCCACGTCTTTGATAGAGGCCAGAATTGCGCCGTGTTTTTCACATCCTGTTCTTGCTATAAACCAACAGACTTTGTCCGTCATGAGCTTATAGCAGTGGTTGTTGTACTTGCTCCATTCCGGCTGGCATCGCAGGGCTGTAGAGTAAAAAAAACCAAAAACAACAAAACATGCAACTAATTCACGTTAATTTTTATACAATAAAAGTGTAGTATAAGATTATTCAAAGTAGATCATCATTTGCATAATTGGTATCTGTTGATGTTCCGCCTGCCAGATATTAAATAGATTACACGTATAGCAGTACTATTATATGAAACACTGCGATCATAGAATTTCCACATTAATTATGCAAATGAAGTCATCTTTTGCAAAATTTCTATTTTATAATGTACTACTCTCTCTCAGTTATCCCCATACAAAAAATTATGAAAATAAGTTGTTCCTATCTGAACTAAATGGCTTGCAAAGATTTCGCCCTAAAGTCCCCTGTAGTTCCAGAACAAGCTGCTTGGAGGAAAAAAACCCACATCACTTATTCTTAACGAGAAAAGCTATCTGTCTCCAAAAAATCAAGACCATAACTTGTCCAGGACAAAAGAAACAATAACCGGAAGTTCTTCTGCAGTACCAAGGTCATCCACCAGGAGGCCCATATTTGACCTTGACCTTTGTCTTCCTAAGTCTAACCAGCATACCAAATATCATCGCAATCTTTAAAGGCGTTATGGAGTTATGCTGACCACAAATGTGCAAAAACACAAATACACACAGAGACACGCCTAAAACAATACCTCCATTTTTCATGGAGGTAGCAAATCACCCCATCCATACCATCTTAATCCAGGGCTTAAGCAGAAAAAAATTAAATAAACATCTTTGACCTTACTACCACCACCACAACAACAACAGAATTCACCTTGCTGGCAGTTCTGTCCAGTCCATCCAGGTGAGCAGGTACATTTGTATCCACCATCTTTGTTCACACAGCGTCCATGTTGGCAGGGGTTTTTGTTGCACTCATCTATATCTGTGTGAGAGGAACAGAAATCAAAAACCGTCCCACCCACCTTAATTGAGGGCTTAATAAGCAGAAATAAATAAATACATAGACAAACATTAGACACCTGTGACCTTACTACCATCTCCACAACAACATCAACAACAACAGCAACAACTACAACATTAACCTTTATCGCAGTTCTGTCCAGTCCATCCAGGTGAGCAGGTACATTTGTATCCGTCCTCACGGTTCACACAGCGTCCATGATGGCAGGGGTTTTCCTTACATTCATCTATATCTGCATGAGAGCGAGACACAGAAATTAAAAATCACCACAGCTATACATCCTAAATCCAGGGCTTATGGAGAAACAAAAAAGTACATAGACATAGCTTATACATCTGTGACCTTGCCGACTACCACAACAACAACAGAATTCAATTCACCTTGCTGGCAATTCTGTCCAGTCCATCCAGGTGAGCAGGTACAATCGTATCCGCCATCTTTGTTCACACAGCGTCCATGTTGGCAGAGGTTTTTGTTGCACTCATCTATATCTGTGTGAGAGGAGCAGAAATAAAAAATCGTTCCAGCCATACCACCTAAATTAGGGCTTAATAAGCAGAAAGGAAAAGTACTTAAGACAAACACTATACATATCTGACCAACTACCACCACCACCAAAACAACACATACTAGATTCACCTTGCTGGCAATTCTGTCCAGTCCATCCAGGTGAGCAGGTACATTTGTATCCGCCATCTTTGTTCACACAGCGTCCATGTTGGCAGGGTGTTTTGTTACACTCATCCATGTCTGTGTGAGAGAAACAGAAAAAAAATCGTCCCAGCCATACCATCTGAATTTAAAACCTAAGAAAAAAATACTGAACATACAGCCCCATGCTGACTACCACGATTGTTAACAACCAACACAACAAAACTGACCTTGCTGGCAGTTCTGTCCAGTCCATCCAAGTAAGCAGATGCATTTGTATCCGCCATCTTGGTCCACACAGCGTCCATGTCGGCAAGGGGTTTTGGCACACTCATTCAGGTCTTGGGGAGGAAATGAATGACAAAATAATTGTATTTGTCAAGAATGACGAAGAAATACACCCTTGCAATACCTAGCCGTCGGCACATAATTCTAAAGGCTAAATTGCACGAAAAAAACTAACTACATCACAACTACATCACAACTAGAAAAGATCTATGCAGTATAGTTTACTCCGTCTACATTTCATAAAAATTGACTGTTACAAACTCACTCACTGCCCAATGTAAACTATTGCCAAGTCACCACTGCCTTCCCGATTTAACCCCAGCAAAATTTAAAAATGTAGAAGAAAAGGAAAAAAAATAGGGAGAATATGTTTCATCCATATCTATGGTATATAGTAAAATATCCTAATACCTAGTTATATACGTAGACATGGAATTGAGGGTTATATTATGGCATTTCATGTAGGGGGTATCCGGGATCATATATGGGGGTACTGTAACATTACTTACCCGTGGTCGAAGTATATGTGACGGTTGTTAATAAGACCTGGACGGCCGCATTGCTGTTTGTAAATGGCAAATATGTTGGAGTCAAGTTGACCATGTTAAATGCCGATTTGTTTTCTCCGTAGAACTCCGGCTGCCATGGCGTACTGAATGACCCCTGAATCGGGCCCAGGACCATCGTTCCATTCTGCTGAAGCGAAACCTGCAATCAGGAGCTTAACGTTTAACCCTGAACACTACACCTGGGGTCCGCGCGGACCCCAGCACTATATATTCGGTAATATTTTTTTGGGTTTCTAAAGATTTTTCTCTGAAATTTCACGTATTGTCACCCACAAAGTTGCCCCTCAATACAGTGCAGAAAACTCAGAAACTAACAACTTTGGTGTAACTATGACGTCATGTGACTAATAATATGGTCCGCCATCTTGGATTTTGACCTGTGACGTCATCAAATTAGCATATATTATGAAAATTAAATGGTTTTACTTATCTTTGATTATGTAAGATTATGCCATTATTGCCATGGTAACACAACAAATCTTTAACTTATTTAACTAATATGGCATTTTTTTTCCATATACACTTCAGGAAAGGTCACCAAATTTCATGGTTTTAGCTCAAGCCGTTCGAGTTCTATCTGAGATTGAAGTTGTCGCGGGCTTTAAAAAAACACTCGGTCTGAATAGGGTTGAAAATCTGGTATTTCGTCTTTTTGTCTTTTCTTCACCAAAAAATAAGGATGTCAAAATGTATAAGTTTTGTACGTAATGTAGACTCAGAGGTTCACACGTCAATTTGCAAAACAATTGAGCTTGTAGCATGTTGATAATTTCTAAAGAATTAGCAACAAGTATGATGTTTTTAAAAAAACACAGGCGACGATTTTGTGTTTACCTGTTTCGTTCTTGATAAATCGTTCTTTTCATACACGTACACATATACTTTGGAAAGAATTTATAATTTCTGCTACAGTGCCAGGAAAGCCGCCAGGGGTCCAAAATCAGTTAGGCCCAGGCAAATTTATGCTGTGTTTCTTGCAGTTAAAAAATTTGAATCGCTAGATAGGGATTCACTTAATATTTTTAATGTCTTTTAATTTTTTCATAGATTTTTATAATTAGTGATCCAACTAATACAGTGAATATAACATTGAAATGTATAAGTACACTGGTATCTTCAACACTACACTAATTTCGCCCCTAGAGATAAAATAGTGAAACGCGGTCAATGGGTTCACCGTAAATTCCCGAATAAAGTACGCATCCCTTCTGCGCACGGCCGGTGCCACTGTGGACATGTACATGTAGTATATGTATGTCTTAAAAACAGTTAGCTCTAGAAACAAATCGTTTTAGGCCGTGTACTATATACGTGATTGCATGATAACTGGATACAGTATTGTAGCGGTAAAGGTTTCGTGTCGGGGCCTGTTTTCATCGCTGGCCGCAGCCGATTTGCAAGACGTCACCCCCGCATCGAAGGGTAAGGCGAGTGCGGCAAAACGGACAGCTTTGGATCACGGAGAGTGTTGGTGACCAAGCCAGCAATGGTCAATTAAGTTTTGTTAATATTTCAATAATGGTTTAATCGGTAACAAGGGGTAGTTGAATGTTGATATACAAGTACGTAGCTTTGTTGTCCTTTACTACTATACGAAATGCGCCGAACACTTTAGGCCATGTTGATTTGATTATATGGATGACATCCGCGCGCGCATGAATTTTCGGCCGTTTCAAAAAAAAAAAAGAGTTTTCAACCATACTGTAAATCGTGCAAAACAGTTGCTAAATTAGCAAAAATATACCATAAGTTGCAAGGAAAACGTTTTAGAAACGATACCAATGTCATAGAATGCCAAAATTAAAGGAAAAAAGACAAAAATGTGAAGAAATGAATTCGAAGAGTAGATTATTCGCCATAACATATTCTGTGCCATTTGTTCAACCTTCATGGCCATGACCAGATTTCATAGTGAAAACAACTTTTTTTTGCAAAACTTTTTTTTATTCGCACGCGCGCATCAGTTTTGGGGTTCCCAGAGGGTGTCATCCATATATTCAAATCAACATGGCCTTAATAGGGCCCGCCCGATCGACCCATGAAGAGCAACGATCATCGAGGCGGAGAACTGGGCAGAGCGTTGATGCTACTGTGGATGCAGAAGTGCTACCGTATTTAGAATTTGAAACTGCAAAAGGCTACTGGGACTTGCGATTTATAACAGGGGTGAGTGAAAAGTTTGACTGCGTTTCAAATAATCTCTCGTAATGTGATAGTTTGATGTTTTTGTCACAAAATCAAAGGAATAATGTACACTTCAAATATGTATTAAT